AAACTGTCAACAACACCTCACAAAAGCAAAACACATCAATTTTGCCAATAGTCCGAGTTTTTGTTTAGTTAAGAGTATTATATATATAAATGGCACTTGCAACACAATAAGGTCATATAACGGCCAAAGGTTAGAAGTGTTACAAGAGAGCAACAAACACAAAAAAGAAGAAGGGGAGATAAAGACGATAGATGTTTGATAGGAAAGAAGGAGCAAACCACACTAGCAGAGCACCTGCGTGCGAATCACCCATACGTCATGTTGAAAACATGACAAGGACAAAATTTCAAAAACTTGACAAGGAGCAGACAGACGCTACCTGGGTGCCGCAGGAAGCATAGACTCCCGAGCAGCCAGCCTCACAGTGTTGGGGCTTTGGGGTGTGTTTCCACTGGCGATATCCGCCAGTCCAATGGATTCTCTCCGCTTCAATCGTACCCATGGCACTCGTCCGGCTGTGGATTTGGCAGGATTGAGGGAACCGTAATTCAGACTGCTGGTCCGGCCCACAGGAGTCCGAGTAGTTTTCCTCACAGGTGGACTGTAGAGAAAAGTTTTGAACAAAATATAATTCAAAGACTTTAATTATCAATGAGTAGATCTCTGATACATATTTTGGTTTCCTTCTCTGACTGAAGAATACAGTTCCGAAACACATGCACAATAAATAATCGGACTGAATGCATTGATAATGATAGATTCAGCAGAAGCAGGATTCATTTTTGGAAAAAGGAAACATTTAGGAAAAATACAAAATCATGTGTGTTTAAATATCTCTATAATCATACATTTTCAATGCATCCAAACGTGCACATTAAAAATAGCAAGTCTGGTTTATTGGTTAGATTTAAGTTTAGGCCACCTATATTATTATTCTCACCCTTGGTGAGAATAACTCATGACCAGCAATTCTCAATAGAAAGTGACTCGCTATTCTCACCCCCCCCCCCCGACATCGACAGTGATGTAGCTCTATTTTGTTTGTATAGTTCAGCCTGCTTCAAGCATTCCATCCCATGAAATGAAGGAGCGCTTTTACAGAAATTAAAGTCGGGATATGGGATAAGGAAAATTATGATGCAGAATATAAAATGTAAAAACATTTTTCGCCTCTCCAATTAAAAATATGTCTCACTACCCAGGCCACTCAGAAGACGTTGAATCCTTCTGCTATCTTGGGAGTATAATTGACAGAGAAGGAGGAACAGGTGCTGAAATAAAGTCCCGCATTGGAAAAGCACAGACTGCTTTCATATCTTTGGATAGGATTTGGAAGACTCAGAGACATCTCACTTCGAACAAAGCTGAGGATTTTCAATTCAAATGTGAAGTCGGTCTTGTTGTATGGATGTGAGACATGGAATGCATCACAGACTTACATAAACAGGACCCAGGTTTTCTTGAACAGGTGTCTAAGAAAGTTACTGAGGATCAGATGGACAGACAGGGTCACCAATGTGGAAGTGTTAAATAAAAGGAAAACAAGACAGATCCCAGTCAGAGATGAGGTAGGAAGAAGGCGGTGGCGATGGATTGGACATACACTCTCAGAAAGTCAGGCAGCTGCATAAAGAAAGTTTTGGATTGGAATCCACAGAGTAAGAGATCAAGGGGAAGACAGCGTGGAACCTGGAGAAGAATCACAGAAATCAATGTCCAGAAAAGAAAAGTGGGAAGACATGGAATAACATCAAGAGGCTAGCCTAGGATAGAGAAAGGCGGAAGGTGTTTGTTGCCCATATCCTGGTGCAGGGTGAGAAAGGCAACGATGATGATGATGACCCACGCCACTGCGCAGGATGTGGGACTGGCTGCCGGCCGGACCATTCGTTGTTTACACATTAACAATGGCAGGCCTCTCTGCCTGCACACAATAAATTATGGTTTAAGGAACAGAGAGTGTACAAACATAATGGGACACCAGCACGAGCCAATGCTCTTGCACGATGGTAGAAGGGTTGTAAATTTATTCACACCAAATGGGTGGGGGCATTAAAATCGTGTTAACTAGTTCAATAATTTAGTAATCCAAGCTCTTTTCTTCACTTTCCTTTATTCTTTTTCTTTTTTCCTTGCTTCTTCTTTCCCCTTCTTCTTTAACATTTGGAGTTTGAAGCCTAAAAGCCAAATGAAATTCTCCAGGCCAGGCGCGATCCAAAAGAGCCAAATTTCTGGGATTTGGCTCCAAACTTACACTGACAGCCCTGACTGTGACTATTCACTATTCAGACACGAACACGACCCTGTGGAGCATCAGCCCCGGTAACCTCAGCCCTGATCCCTCTTGGGTAATTTCCGGTAAATCGAGGGGGTGAGAATAGCGAGACAATAGGTTTTCACCCCGGGTGAGAATAACGACTTTACATTTAAGTTAAGGGGGTATAGTAATAATATCGTGAGGCCAAAAAATAATCCAGTTCAATCTGAAGGGAGAGGCAAGTGGAAATTCATAAAATCCTTTCCACTAATAAAGTCTATCACTTTGCTTTTTTTTCCTCCCAAGAACAA